TGCAAAATTTGTGCGACTTTCTGGGATTGAATGAACTGTAATTTTTTCTATTGCTAGACACAATGACGGGCCGGATAGAATCATTTGGTGGGCCAGATACGGCCCACGGGCCGTCTTTTGCCCACCCCTGCCTTAGAGCATACTCAACTATTTTCAGTTATGTGGACAAAACCAGATAGTAGAATATAAGATAGCATTCCAATCAACAGTTTATAAGCTATAACTGCAAGTATGAAGTTCATGAGAGAGGCAAGTATGAAGTTCATGACTTTTGCTCATCATCAGAACTCCAAAATCGGATTGTGAAAGATGCCGTGTGTTATTTGAAATAGTTGGCAGACAGTCCATTTTTGTAGAGAGCAAGATGAGGAGGGTATCCCATAAGGAAGGCTATTCATAATGACCTTTAAACAATGTGGGTTACTTAGGTAAACGATACAAACACTATATATTTGGTATAGTAAAAAATATTATAAAGTATTGTAATGTCAGATTGCACCATACACACAGGCATAATACCAGCATTGTATAACCTATCCCCCCTCTCTCCCCCTAGCTCGGGGTCAGACTCCGCCACTGTCAAGCATTAGGGACTCTACCCCACGTGAAGGGCGCGATATAAATGCAAGTTGTTGTTGTACTGTCCCTGGATTAAGTGCCACATGAGAACACATAAAACCAGAAAAAGAGCAAACTACAGTATTGTACTGGACATTATCTCAATCGCTTTTTTTAAAAAAGCTACATGGATCTGTACATCTGAGATTGCTGCTCTATGGGATTAGTGGAATTTTAGCTGGAATAAATGATTACTGTACTAACCGGCCCCTAGGGAGAAAGTTGGTTCCTAAAATATTTCAGTCCCCATCAGTCTTAATGACATTGGCTCAAGCTCCTTTTCTATTTGAATCACATGGAAAATATTCAGTTAATTTCACTAACTAACCAGTTTCCAGCATTCCAGTATGGGTTCTTCAACAAAACAACTTTCCTCAGCCTCCCACAGGGACATCTGCAAAAACACCAACTGTAGAGTTTCACAGTTTCACTTTTGTTTGTGGAATTAAAAATTTAAAAACGCACAAGTGCTTATTATCCTGAATGAAAAGTACGTTTTCAGAAATGGAAACCAAAGTGAAAATGTCACAAATCACAGGAGACCAATTTGAGCCCAGTAAATTTTAACAATAAGGTGTCAGCCTTGCTCAGTTGGTAGCTCTCTCGCCACTCTCAAAATACTACGGTGGGACTTTGAATTAACATTCTAGGCTGATAGCCAATATTGTACTGGACTGTTGGAGGTGACATTTTTCAGATGAGACATTGAATCGAAGTCTCGTTGGGCTGTTCAAGTGGATGTTAACAATCCCATGGTACTATTCGAAAAGAGAAGGGAGTTTCTCCCAATGTCCTGGCCAACAAATCCCACAGAGAACATTGGTCATTCACTTCATAGCTTTTATCGTTCATTGCTGTGCGGAAATTGGCTGCAACATCCATCCTCTCAAATACAGTCAGCAATTCCAATGAAGCTTTCACATTTCTCAACAATGCAAGGATTATTATGTATTACTATAATTCAACACATGTAGTTACTTCTCCCTCACTGATATTACACAAGAAAATTGAGGGTATTTGTATTCATCTCAGGATGTGGCAGATGTTGGCAGGACTAGTATTTATTGTCTCTTGAGATTTTTGTAAAATTTTCCTCAGGCTAAAACCACAAAGTAACGTATCAAATTATCTGGTGAAGTGCAGAGTGAGGACACCGAGAGCGATAGTGAGACAGACAGACAGACAGACAGACAGGGGGGAGAGTGGGAGAAGAATGAGAGGGTGGAGGGGGAGAAACAGAGAACGATGGATGGAGAGAGTGACAGAAAGAAAAAGTGGATGGAGAGACACAGAGACAGAGGGGGGGAGAGAGAGAGACAGAGAGAGAGAGAGAGAGAGAAAGAGTGAGAAGAGGGGAGCAATTTACTCAAAAAACAGTAATTTGTATAAGTTTCAGTTTCATTTAGGAAAAAAGATACTTGTATTAATAAGATATTTACTCAAAATAAGTTCTAATAATATCGAAAATAGTTTCTAGCTTGCCTGTTAACATGCTAATACAAGCCGTTTGTCTTACAAGTGCAAACCAGCATCCGCCTATCGTTCTGCTGCCATCAGGTACATTGGAGAAATATTCAGGGCCTGTCTTCCCCTCCCCCCCACCCCATACATTTTCACTAAATGGATAGCCTATTTCTAGAGCAAATCTCCCACATAACTACATCTTTTGACCGTTTCTCCAACCTGTGGGAAGTTGTTACTAGCACCAATTACACAAAACCCAGTACAGTTCTAATGTTTGCATTAATACAAGCGTCTCTGTTGCAACACACCTCAGTTTTGCGCAAGTGTACTGTTGAATCTGAATACTGCTGAATTCTTGGTTTGTCGGACCCTTGTACACTATCCGCAGTGAACTCTAACACCGCTTCACGAAGGAAACGACATTGGCGATAACCTGACAACCCAGAGTTGCTGACCAGTGGCCATTTTTAGTGCACCTATTATAATGTAGAGTCTGAGTTTTAAGGACTCTAACCACCCCCTGATAACGGGATCAGCCTGTAAACCACAAAGCTGGAAGGGGGAAGTGCACATTTAACCAAAAGAAACTTCAAGAATAATCATTCTTCTATATCTATATTCTTTTGATATTCAAATATTTCATTTGTAATCATTGAAAACACTGCTTGGAAAAGTCCTTGAACCCATTATCACTGCTCCAGATTAATTTGCTACACACCTCGTGAATGTTAACGGAACCTTAATGTGTGCAAAATAATATTAGTGTTTGCCTACAAAAAACATCATTGCACTGAATAGTAATTACTGTTATGTGATTCAAGATATTTCTATTTGATAAGATCTATAAAAAAATACAAGTGTTTTCTTCTTTTCACCATATCATACCAAAAAAACTTCAATTTTATATATTGCAAACTTCAAGCGAGAGGATCCAGGTTCAATTACCGGGCAGGCAAAGTCTTAGTCAAGTTTCCTTACTCCACACACCTCTGTTTACCTAGCAGTAAGTAGGAACCCAGTTGTTAGTCAATTGGCGCATCACCTTCCAGGGTAATAGTCCCTCCCAAAAAAAGCAAATCAATAATAATAATTTGGTCACTCAATCCATGACGGTTTGTGGGACACTGCTGTATGCAATTGGCTGCTGACTTTCACCCACAAAATACACAATTAATTCACTTCACAATTTTTTCTGTAAAGTATTTTGACATGTCCCAAAGATGTGATAAGGTACTGTATCAAATGCAAGGATTATTATTATAAGATGTGAAACAATAAAACAGTTGGGTCATAAAACAATTAAATAACCAGGCAATCAGAGTATACAGTAATAATCCTTGTATTTGATATATCATCTCTTTGAGACGTCTCAAAGGGCTTTACATATAGCATAGAATCAGAAGACAACTACAGGAGCACAGCAATTCTAAAGAAAACTATTAAATTATTTATCACGTCACTGTTTAAAATATTACAATCATAATTTTCTTTACAAATGCTCCTTAGCTGTCTACCAAATCATAATTTCTGTGCAAGTCAAGGTAAGTAGGGTAAGGTAGTGCAGGACACTGCTGCTATGATGCACAGAGTAGTCATGGAAGATTCACTACCATGATCTCAGCTGTACCATAACGGGTGGGGGGGAAGATTGCCTTAAGTAAGCCAGGTAGGTTTACACAGAAGGCAAAATTAAATCGGATAGCTAGTGAATTCAGGCACTAATCACACCACCCAAAGAAATATGACAAACCAGTAAACAGAGCAGGTTTTAAGTTTTCTGTGTAAGTTGCTAACTGGAAAAGAATACGTCCATGATGATAATAATCATTTTTGCATTTGCCTTTCACATCAGAACACCTCAAAATGCTTCACTTGATACACTGTAAAGTATAGTGACTGTGTTTTGTAGGCAAATGTACCATTCAATTTGCACACATGAATGCCCCATAAACAGACAGGAACTGAATGACCAACTTTATCTGAAGGCTTGTTGGCCAGGACACTGGGAGAAATTCCCTTCTCTTTCGTGATGCTCTAGGATCAACATCCACCTAAGCAGGCTGACAGGACCTCAGTTTAATGACTTTTTCAAAGGACTGTACCTCCGACAATGCAGTGTTCCAGTGCTGCATTGGAGTGTCAGGCTAAACTACAAGAGCTCATAAATAGAAAATATGCTGACACGAAAAAAAAGCGTTACAACACTGACTGATGAGTATAAGTGGAGCTAAGCAAACCACTCTTCGCTGCCCGACTTTGTAGAGTTCTCCATCTAGTGGCTTGGCTCAGAATTAAACATTTATCCAATTGAGGCAAACAACTTCACATTTAACCATACAGTATCAGGCTTTTGATCTCCTTGGGAGTCAGTGGCTGAACTGTTGGAGCTACCCAAACAAACATTAATTTTTCACTTACCTTAACAAAACGTAACAATACTTAACTGTTCAAAATTCTGCTACCTGAAATTTTTCTAAGTTTCTATTCACCAGTTTCATGCAGATTTTTTGAGAGAAATGTGAGCATTTGGATACACTATATTCTTACTCACTCCAAAGGGGAACACACAATAAAAAATTGTGCTGCTCAAACTGGACAGAATACTATCTAAGATAACACGTGGATCCCGCCCAGGTGGGTAGGCCTGGCACTATCATACCTGAATACAGACATGGCTGCCACACCACAAATGAGAGATGATCTCACAAGGACTTTAATACATAATATAAATAGGCATTTTGTATGTACAGTTTAAGTCCCTTGTATTGCTTATACCATGAATATAAATTGTATTCATAAAAAAACTGGATACCTGGCTATGGAATCACAGAATACTATCATTCTGTGCCATCTAGCCAAACACATTTCCCTGCTTATTCTCATCATCTTTTATATAGAACACGTGACTGCACTATTACCTGTGATTTTGTATCCAAAGGCAGCCAGTTGACCAGCCATATATTCTCCATCTGAATTGTTATGTGAACAGCCCCAAGTCTTCACCCAGATCTTCTGTGTACCAGGGATAACACTGCAACAAGTATGTACATGAAAGTAAGAATTAAGAACACAATTTAAAACTATTTTAATAATGCAGGCCATTTTCTACCAACCTTACAAGTTTTATCTTTGATTCATAATAGTAGCAAATAGTGAATCTGTACAATAATAATCACAATGATATGAAGTGAGCACATTCCATTTTAAAGTTACACTATAAGTGGATTGATTTAGGTAATACAGTATTATCTCCCAAATTTAAAAATATTGTTTTTCCTCTTAAAAACAATCAGCCATGCCACACAGTATTATGTGCCTCTGAAGATGCACTGGTCAGTTCTGCTCCCAAGTTCTATCCAGTTGGTTCCCAAGAGAATTTCATGTCAATTTCCTCTCTAGCCCTCGAATAAAGTACATTGCCTCTATTCCGCATCTTAAGCAGAACCGTCAAGACAACAACATTACTGTAGTAAAATTTATGAGGGAACTCCTTTTCATAAAATGTGTCCGAGTATGTTTGTTCACAAAATACACAGACACACTACTTTACAGAATATCCTGTGAAGTGCTTTGTGATGGCTCAACAATGTGATTAAGGTGCTATATGAATTACAAGCATTATTATTAACAGAATGCAATCTTGAAACTTAACCAGTTTGAATTCTATATCTTGAAACCACATCACTGAAGGATTACAATTTTCAAACAGAATTTTGTTTTTAAAAAAAAACACAATAGTTGTGAATTCTATGAAAAATAACCAAAAGTGACCTTTGTGTTCAAATCCCTTCACTCTCTGGCACCTTCCTACTTCTCCGGCCTCCTCATTCCCCAATCCACCGCCTCCGATCAACTGGCACCGGCCTCCTGCTCATCCCTCGCACTTTCCGCCCCACCATCAGAGATTGCGCTTTCAGCTACTACACCCGAAACTCTGGAACACTCTCCCTCAATCCCTCCAACTTGCCCCCTTTCTCCCCTTTTTCAAGTCCCATCTGAAAACCATCCTCTTCGACCGTGCTTACAGCCACCTCCCCAACCCCCCATCCCTCCCCATCTCGTAGTCAGGCTCCGCCACTGTTAAGTGCTCTGAGATGCTACCCTGCATGCAGGGCACCATATAAGTACATGTTGTAGTTGTTGTTCTAAAGGATCCTCTGAAAAAAATTCTGCAACAAAATAACAGGTTTAAAAAAACAGGTTCTGTAGTACAAACTTGACCAAAGGAAGTTCAGAACTTTACCCTAAAACAGGTAAATTAGAAGACATTAAATTGAGCATTGGATGAATCAGCTTCCACTTTAATGCAGAGATTGAATTAGTCAATGAAATGCTAACCCAGGGGCATTAATCCATTTATATTCTTGGGTTCTTCTGCGATTTGTTAACATTGTAAAAATGGCACTGCTAACAGACAAATGATGCGCCATAAACAGCCACTTTGCAGCTTCCTGGTCATTTAATGCTATTAATGCTTCATATTTCCAATGTATTTATAAATGTGGTGGGTACATGTACACATAAAACCATTTAAGCCTTTGCCATTGACCTCCCCAGCATTTATACACATTCCCATCAAGCCCAGGGATCAGGGTGGGCATCTCATGACCCAGAAATTGGGCATTTTCTTTCACAAGAAGCAAAGCCACTTTCTGTGCACGTCCACAGTGAATGCAGCCCGTTACAAAGTGTTGGTTGGAACGAACCACAAATTTTATGAACCACAAATTACTGTGTTTTGACAGAGCCATAATGCATTGTGAATCAGCACTTCCACGTACAACAGCTTATTTTTTAAAAATCAACTGGCAACAACAACAACTTGCATTTATATTGCGCCCTTTATGCAGGGTAGAGTCCCGGACCTTATACGCTGGAGGTTTTATATGAGGATGAGACACTACTCATCTCTGCTGCAATCTAGCTTATTGATGCAACAAAAGGAATATATTGTGAGACAAATGCTTCAATAATCATCTTTTAAAAAAAATAAGTGGAGACTAACATAATAATAATAATCCTTGCATTTGATATAATGCCATTGAGACATCTCAAGGCGCTTCACAGAATATCCTGTAAAGTGTTGTGACTGTGCATTTTGTGGACAAAACAGTATAACATAACTGTTAAGAATATCAATGTGAAGTTTCACCATTTCACCAAACCTTACAGGTTTTGACAAAAATGGAGCAAAGAAACTCACCTATCAGCTTGGAGATCTTCCTCATCCTGTTTGTGCTTATTTCTTTTCCTGGCACGAGGAACAACACTCTTCTTTGCAAAGTGTCGATCATTAGGTGTGATATCTTGTGCTGACACAATATCTTCAATATCTTCCACTAATGAATCACAAGCAGCCGGCATGATCTGCAAAATTACAGGAGCAATTTATTTCCTCAATGAAAGAAAACACTGCAAGGGGATTTTCATGCTATAGATATATAGATCCAACCCTTTTTTTCCCGTTCATTCATAAATGTTAAACCTTTCCAAATGACCAAGACCCACTGTAGAATTGAATTAAACTCTACAAAGTGCATTCAGTATTATGGAACGTATAACACTTGCATTTAATATAGCGCCTTATCAATGTATAACTTAAGATAAGATAAAGGGCATTGTCATGATGGAACTATTTTCCTAAGTTGTACCAAAGCCAAAATATACTTTTTCCATCACTGAATAAGGATGTCAAGCTAAACAGAACAGTGGGATGACATTCACTATACCATTCAACTAAATCTCATTCATCCTGCTGCAGCAAAGCACAGAACGGAAGCCAAACACAAAAAGGCAAAAAGTGAATGACCGGTTTCATGTGGGGTTTTTTAGCCAGAACACTGAAAGAACTCCCTACATTTTGAGAAGTGCCATGGGATATTTAGCAGCTCTGAACAGGAAGACAGGATCTCAGTTTAACAATTCATCTGAGTGATAGCACCTCCAACAATACAGGACATCCCAAGCACTATACTGAAGTGTCAGCTTTCAGCTCAATGTCCCGATGTAGGGCTGGAACCTACAACTTTCTGCTTCAGAGACAAAAGTGCTACCAACTGAGCCAGACTGACATCTCATTGATAATGCTACTATCTATTTTGTAGCATTGTAAGAGTATACTACAGGCTTGTGGCACATGAAATCCTTCTTTGAATCCCTTCTGGCTGTTTCTTTTTTGTTGTTGCATAGACTCCAGTCTATAATAATAATCCTTGCATTTGATACAGCACCTCATACATCTTCGAGACGTCTCAAAGCGCTTCACAGAATATACTGTCCAGTGAATTGACTGTATATTTTTGTGGGCGAAAACATCTATTTTAAAACAAAATATATGAAATAAAAATGCCTACCCTTTAAACTGGTTCCAATAATTTTACATTATTGATATTCGTTCAATAGGTATGCAAACTCTGGGACAGTTTTGCCACGCTTTTGAAACACAAGTATTGCACAACATTTGCCTGCAAAATCTCATTAGTACTAACCGATACTTCCATGATAATAATCGGAGACTAATAAATGTTTCCCATCTGGAAGTCCTAAATCTACCAAAATTATTAAGTAGCTCTACAGCAACTTCAATATTCCTTAAGAATAATAAGTGCAACACAAAAATTAGATAAATTAATATTCTCTTCAGTGAATACTTCGAGCAATTATTCATTTACGAGATCACTTTTTTTTAAAAAGCGATTTTTTCAAAGTCACTGCCACTTTTACCTTTTAGAATTCCAAGCTCTGCTCTTTTATACAGTCGCATGATACTGGAAGAAATTTAGCTTAGTCCCTACTGTCATGTCCAGGGACCTCTTGCACTTTCAATATATTTTAATCCATTTTAGTAAATTGTTATACTCCTCTCAGAGTTCTCTCTAATTTCCCTATAGCTTTTGTATAATTTGCTTTTCTCATTTATTACCATTTTAATTCACTTATTCATCTACTTGTTAATTTGTTTATTTTACATGATTATTTAACTTGCATTTATTTTTCCTGCGCGCTCAACCATTTTCTTTAAAAAGTGAAATTCTCTCATAAATTAAATACCTTTCAGAAAGTCCTATCACTTTGTGGCATTTTCAGCACATGCAAAAGCAACATGAAAGCTATGATAAGCTTCATCAAAATATTGTTCAATGTATATAAATACGCAAACGCATATGTGCAATATTCACCAGCAAGAATAATAAAACAATTCTGCCTAATAGTGAGAAAGATGCAGCTTTTATTGTAAGATACAACACCTAAATTCACCTTATTCTCTGCTTTCAAAACATATCTGAAGGCCTCTCTATGTTTGACCTCCCCTGTGCTGAGTCAACTAAACTCAGGCAGAGTCAGACTCAGTACCCGGGCTAAAAAGTGATAATCAAACAAGGTTCCTCATCTCCACTTGTTACAAACTTACATAAAAAAATAAAAACACAATTCATAAGAATAACTGTTGTGCCTGAGATCTAAAATTATTGTCATGTTTATATTACCAACCAAGCATTGTCCAAAACAAGGGAATAATAATAATAATAATCCTTGCATTTGATATAGCGCTTTTCACGTCGGGAGGACGTCCCAAAGCGCTTCACAGAACACACTGTAAAGTGAATCACACCTAATCCTTGAATCGACGTGTTCCTAATCTCAGCTATGAAACTGTGGATAATTACAAACAAAAAAACGGGTGTCTTTTCTTAAAGAAGGGATCCCTCCGCCTTGCCCCTTGCTTCCCCATTTTCAGGGCGCGCCCGAAGACCTTCCTATTCGACCGTGCCTACGGTCACCTCCCCCTCCCACCCCGGCTCAGTGTCGTGCTCCGTCATGTCACGCGGCTATGAGATGGTACCCTGCGCGAGGGGCGCTATATACACGCAAGTTGTTGTCGGATGTGGAAGAAAAAGACAATGGTTTTCATCAATAGTGATCACAATATAGGCAGTATTCTCAGTGCTGTCATTTTTTNCTCTAGATTTGGGAGAGGGAGAAAAATTGGCGCCGGGGAGGGGGTTTGGGAGCGGGTTTCTGCTCCCCCGTCTGGGACTGTACATCATTGGTCTGGACAACAACCCTGACCCTAGTTAGAAATATGTGTCGTGTGAAGGATGACTCCTTGGGCAAAATATTTCAGCTGCCAAACTCCAGCACAGCTTCTCACCCTTGAGTAAGAAGTGGGGGGCTGGGGGTGGGGGTGGGGAGTGAAAAGTATCTATTTACGAGTTTTGTTTGTTTACGTTTCACAAATACTGCAGAAATAAGACAAACGTTTCAATATCTATGTTTGAAAATCCATCGTAAATAATTTCACTCAACTGCCACCATCACCCGAAAATGTAACTCTCCCTACGTTCTGTACAGTAAGACGCCTGCTTACCCAAAACAATTCAAGAAACACTCATTTGTACAATAATAATACTTGCATTTGATATAGCGTCTTAGCACAGCTTCAAGACGTCACAAAGCGCTTTACAAATTATACTGTGAAGTTAATTGACTGTATAAATAAGCAATTCAGATAACTGACCTCATACCTCAGTATCTTTAACCCTGCGTGGAGGGTGATACACAAAAAAAAGCTGTTGTAATCTCAGAAGCACTTTACAATATTAATTTAGCACAACAACAAATAATATAAATTATTTATACTTGTTACACCGAGGGAATGCTGTGAGTGTCCACACGTGTTGGTCAATCAGTCAATTGAAATAACTGATGATCCCTGGGAACAACATCCAGCTTTCAATCAAAATGTTCAGGTATGCACAGTAAGCTTACTATCTTTCTGTCTGTCTCAAGCTTTTTCAACGCTGATTTTCTTTTCAAATGTGAAAGAACGTCTGCACTGAAACTTGTAAATTAGGATAGAAAGTACAAAAGAAGAATGAAAACAACTTCTTTCTTTGATCGGCTTGGGTGTATGACTATGCTTAAGAATATCAAAACCATACATGCGATACTTTGTCACTGGAGCCTGTAAGTGCACGTGCAGCGACAGGTCAACACAACGTCTCCCCCGATTCAATGCGCATGTGCCGGCAAGCATTTGAATTACATTGAATGGTGGGAAAGGAAATTCTCCTGCACATGCAGGGATAGATCAAGACCATGTTTCCTGCTGGCAAATGCGCATTCATCGACGGTTCAGGACGTCATTTCCCAAGAATCAATGCAGCCGAGAAGTGCAGGAGTGCTGGAGGATAGGGGAGCGGTGTTACGAATTAGGAGAAGACAAATATGACGAGTACAAAGAAATCTAAGTGGTTTTGATAGGAAACTGAATGGGACTTGGGTGCATGTACGATTTAGGAAATTATACGATTTATAAAGATAAGACTTATGCGAGTTTTGCTGTACTGCCAACGGTCCAGCTGGCTGGTCTGTCATCAGCAGTGTCTTGGGAGTATTACAGGCTTGTATGGCTCACGAACCAGTCAACCGAGACCGCCACCGAGAATTAATTCAATTACTGGAAGGATCCCTTATCTCTGCACTTCCTTATTCCAGTATTGTGGCTGCACATACAACCTTAGAGTCAGCTCAGTCCCAAGAAGATCCTGCTTACCACCTCCTCCCCCCGCAAGAAGCAATCAGTGGAGGGAAAGGGAAAAGCAGAGTTGCAAAAGTACAATTCAAACTGGTAATAAACTGATGGCAGCTGCACATTTCCAAAGCATTGCAAGAGTTCCTTAAAATTTAAAAAAAATAAAACTGTGAGGTAGTTATAAACTACTTTATCAGTTATTTAGAATTTTCTTCCAACATTGCTATTTTGGTTGAAATCCCCATAAAACACAAGTTACATTTATATAGCGCCTTTCACATTGGGAAGATATCTCAAAGCGCTTGACACTGCTGGCTGGGTATAATAATAAGAATCCTTGCATTTGATACAGCGCCTCATCACGTCTTCGAGACGTCTCAAAGCGCTTCACAGAATAAAGTGAATTGACTGTATATTTTGTGGGCGAATATACAATATACAAGCTGAGAAGAACTCTGGGATGGAGTTCCAGAGAGCGGGGACAGAATGGCTTAACATTTGTTACTCCTTGTCCCCTACCCTAGCTACCCCAACGATAATGGGTCGGTGACAAGGAGTAACACTAAAATGCCTTCATAGATCATTGCTGTATTCAAATTACCTGCCGTGTTCACCTACAAGTACAGTCAATACATTGTGCAGTAAATTCTGGAAGTGCTTTAAGACATTTCAACAAATTGATTAGGTACTATATGAAATGCAATGATGATTATTATTATTATATACTCAATGATTGTACAGTGCCCAATTTGATAAGGAGACTTCTGCAACTTTGTTGTTCAACATAATAAAAAATAATAATCCTGTATTTCGCCTTTCAAGTCACGAGGATGCCCCAAAGCACTTCAACAGGATATTGATGTATTGTAAAGTGTAGTGACGGACTCTTTTCTTTTTGTGGGCGAACACAGCAGGCAATTTGTACATTGCAATGTCCCAAAAATCACCATGAAGTGAATGACCAATTTTAATTGGGGGATTGCCTGCTTGGACACTGAGAGAAACTCCCTTCTCTCTTCCAATACTGCCATGTATTGGAACATAAGAAATGCTAGACCACAAAAGACCATGGTCCATCTAGTTCACTGCCACCTTCCTGGCGGTCACATTACCGCCATGTAATCCTTAATGTCCACCTAAACATCTTAAACCAAATACTGTTGAGTGGAGCAGTCTTTCTGCCAGTAAAGTAAAAGTTTCTGGATTGTCCTGGCCAACAATCACCCAAACAAAATTAGTCAATCACTCCACGTCTCTTTGTGGGACACTGCTGAGTGCATCCAGCCTGCTGTGTTTCACCCAAAAAATTCAGTCAATCCATTTTACAGTAAATCTTGTGAAGCGCATTGAGACGTTTCAACGACGTGATAAGGCGCTGTGTTATTATTACCTGAAAAAACAAGCGAAGGGTGGGAGTACAACAAAACAAAATTACATTTATTGAGCGCCTTTCACGTCGGGAGGACATCCCAAGGTGCTGGACCGTCAAGGGTCAGGACCTGAGCATTGGGGAGGGGTGGGGTAGAGGTGAGGGAAGGCAGAGAGGTGGGAGGGCGACCAAAGGCACGGTCGAAGAGAAGGGTCTTCAGACCGGCCTTGAAGGAGGCAAGGAAGGAAGCGAGGTGAAGGGACCATGGGATGGAGTTCCAGAGTGTGGGGGAGAGAGGCTGAACGCCCGGCCACCGACGGTAGGGTGGGTCGGGTGGGAGACATGGAGCAGGCCGGAGACCGCTGAACGGAGGAAGCGGGCAGGTTGGTAGGGAGTCAGCAGGTCAGAGAGGTAGGAGGGGACAAGGCCATGGATGGCTTAAAGGTGAAGACGAGGATCTTGAGTTCGATCGTCTGGGGGATGGGGAGCCAGTGGAGTCGGGCGAGGGTGGGAGTGATGGGGTCACGGAGCCTCGTACAAAGATGCAGCGTCATTTGCCCCATAATAATTGAATTATTAGAAGCTTCAGCGCAACCTTTTACGGAGGGAGCTTCTTGTTGTTGACTGGTGTTAGGGGGAAGGGAAAACACAACAACCAGAAACAATAATTATGGAGACCTGTAGCTCAGCAGTTAGAGCACTCGCCTTGCAAGTGAGACACCTGGGTTCAATTCCAGGCAGGGCGCAACCTTGGGCAAGTTTCCTTACTCCACACACCTGATAATAATCCCTCCAAAAAACAAAATCGGTCATTTTCAATCCACGACTGTTTGTGGGACACTGCTGTGAGCAATTGGCTGCCGCATTTCGCCCACAAATATACAGTCAATTCACTTTACAGCATATTCTGTGAAGAGTTTTGAGACGTCGAGAAGACGTGAAAAGCGCTGTATCAAATGCAAGGATTATTATTATTATATTATTATAAACAAACAATCAAACAACAAGACATTCCACTTTACAGCACATCAATATCCAATTAATGTCGAAAGCAGCAGAGGGGGGGGGGGGGGGGGGGCGAGGAGAAATGTTTTCACGCAGCGAGTTGTTGGGATGTGGGAACGCATTGCCTGGAAGGCTGAAGGAAGCCGATTCAATAACAGCTTTCAAGAGGATAGCTATCTGGGGTGGACGACGTTTACGAAGCTTTAGGGAGAGCGCGGGATGGGGGGGGGGGGCGGGTATTGATTGGGACACCCCTTCCAAAGAACCGAGCCGGGGTGGGGGGGGGGGGGAACGGCCTCCTGCCGCGCCGCAGGATCCTCTCTGGGGACGCCGACGGGCTCGACGGGCGGCCGCGTTTCGCCCCCGAAAAAACACAAGCGGCGCGCGGGCGGTCGCTCCTCCCCCGCGCAGTACGCCCCGCGCGAAGCGGCTTCGAGAAGGTCTCGGAAGAACGCGGTCGGGGGCCGCGGCCCGAACACAGGGATAGGGCATAAGGCCACGACGCCAATGCCGATTGTATTATATTATTATATTATTATTATTATTGTCTAAGAAGTTACATTTTTATCTACAGCAGCGCCTTTCAAGTCGGAAGTGCGTCCCAAACACGTGCAACTCAGTGCCCTGTCCCCCCCCCACACACCCCCTCCCTGTCCCCCCCACACCCCCTCCACCCCCTCCCTGTCCCCCCCGTCCCCCCACACCCCCTCCACCCCCACCCCGTCCCCCCCACACCCCCTGTCCCCCCACCCCCCCCCTGTCCCCCCCCACACACCCCCCCTCCCAGTCCCCCCCCACACCCCCTGTCCCCCCCACACACCCCCTCCCAGTCCCCCCCCCACACCCCCTGTCCCCCCCACACCCCCTGTCCCCCCCACACACCCCCTCCCGTCCCCCCACACTCCCTGTCCCCCCCCACACACCCCCCCTCCCCCACCCCCCCCCCCCACACCCCCTGTCCCCCCCCACACACCCCCTCCCTGTCCCCCACACACACCCCTGTCCCCCCACACCCCCTGTCCCCCCCCCCCCCCACCCCCCCCTGTCCCCCCCACCCCCCCTCCCTGTCCCCCCCACACACCCCCCCCCCTGTCCCCCACACCCCCCCTCCCTGTCCCCCCCCACACACACACAGTGCGGTGAAGCGCGGCTGTGGCTGTGGCTGTGGCTGTGGCGGACCCCGGGCCGCCTGTGTGAGGGCGGGTCACCGCGGCCCCGGGGCTCCGGGCTCCGGGCTCGGGGGCTCCGGGCTCGGCGGAGCGGCTGCTGGCGGTGAGTCAGGCCGAGGCCGCTGGGGCCGAGCGGGGCCCAGGGCCCGGGGAGGCCTGGAACCCGCCTGGGCCTCAGTTACAGAGAGAGACCGACCCCACACACACACACACACCGGGGGGGAGGGAGGGGGGGACAGGGCCCGCGCTCACCCCCTCCCACCCCCGGGGTTTGCTCTCACCTCCTCCTCGGGGGGTCTCGGCCTCTCTCCCGGTCCTGTGTCTCTCTCTCTCTCTCCGTCTCTCACTCACTCTCTCTCTCTGACTCTCACTCACTCACTCTCTCACTCACTCTCTCTCTGACTCTCACTCACTCACTCTCTCTCTCTGACTCTCACTCACTCACTCACTCACACTCTCTCTCTCTGACTCACTCACTCACTCTGACTCTCTCACTCTCACACTACACTCTCTCTCTGACTCTCTCTCAAACTCACTCTCATACTCTACACTCACTCTCTCTCTGACTCTCACACTCACTCTCTCTCTCTGACTCACACTCACTCAGATTCTCTCACTCTCTCATACTCTACACTCTCTGACTCTCACTCTCTCTCTCTGACTCTCACACTCACTCACTCTGATTCTCTCACTCTCTCATACTCTACACTCTCTCTGACCCTCACACTCACACTCTCTCTCTGACTCACACACTCACTCACTCTGATTCTCTCACTCTCTCACACTCTACACTCTCTCTCTGACTCTCACTCTCTCTCTCTCTGACTCACACTCACTCTGATTCTCTCACTCTCATACTCTACACTCTCTCTGACCCTCACACTCACTCTCTCTCTCTGACTCTCACACTCACTCACTCTGATTCTCTCACTCTCTCATACTCTACACTCTCTCTGACTCTCACACTCTCACTTTCTCTCTGACTCACACACTCACTCACTCTGATTCTCTCACTCTCTCATACTCTACACTCTCTCTCTGACTCTCACTCTCTCTCTCTGACTCACACACTCTCACTCACTCTGATTCTCTCACTCTCTCATACTCTACACTCTCTCTGACTCTCACACTCACTCTCTCTCTCTGACTCTCACACTCTACACTCTCTCTCTGACTCTCACGCTCTCACTCTCTCTCTCTCTCTGACTCACACTCACTCTGATTCTCTCACTCTCTCATACTCTGCACTCTCTGACTCTCACGCTCTCACTCTCTCTCTCTCTGACTCACACTCACTCTGATTCTCTCACACTACACTCACTCTCTGACTCACACTCACCCTCTCATACTCTACACTCTCTCGCTCTCTCTCACTCTCTACACTCTCTCTCTCACCCCTCTCATACTCTACACTCTCTCACTCTCTCTGACTCTCTCTCACTCACCCTCTCACACACACTCTCTCGCTCTCTCTGACCGGGACGGACGGAGCTTCGGGAGGAACCTGCTGGCCAGACCTGGACAGGGCTCAGAGAGACGGGGATTGTTTCATATAAAACATAACTTTGCTTTGCACCCTCTTCCCCCTGGGCACCCGTTCTTTCTGTAAGCGATTGCAATGTGCACCGGAATTGTATTTATTTTTCCCATTGTGGATTGCAAAATATAGCAGTGATTTGCTACAATGTAACCCGACTCGTACTCTGCACCAAATGTTTACATGTTTATTACAATATGTGCATGTCAACAATATGCGTACAGCCCATTCACTTTACGGCATGTTCTGAGAATCCCTTTGAGACATCTCAACCGAGCGACAAGGCCCCATGTCAACTCTTGCATTTCATACAATGCCTTATTGTTGAAATGTCTCAAAAGTGCTTCACAGAATTTAATGCAAAGCGCAGTGACTGTATGTTGTAGGTGAAAGCAGCAGCCAATTTTGTGTAGAGCAACGTCCCACAAATCACCTTGAAGTGAATGATTAATTCTTTTTTAGTACCAGCTATTGTCCCGAACACTCTCTCTCAATCCCTCCGTCTTGCCCCCTCTCCCCTTTTTTAAGTCCTGCCTGAAAACCTTTTTCGACCGTTCATACTGTCACCTCCACCCCCCCACTGGTATCGTTGTAAAGCGCTTTGAGACGCTACCCTGCGTGGAGGGCGCTATATAAGTGCGAGTATATCAAATGTTGCACAAAAAACAGTCACATCACTTGAGTGTATCCCGTGAGGCACTTTGTGATATCTCAACAACTTAAGACACTGTACCAATAATAATCGTTGTATTTGATATAGCGCTTTTTACATCTTCTAGACATCTCAAAGCGCTTCACAGAATATACTGTAAAGTGAATTGACCTTAGATTTGTGGGTGAAACACAGCAGACTATTGCACACAGCAGTGTCCCACCAACAGTTATGGACTGAAGTGACCAATTTATTATTGTTTTTTTTCTTGCGGGATTATTATCAGGCGTGTGGAGTAAGGAAACTTGGCCAGGGTTTTGCCTTGCCGGGTATGTAACCCAGGTCTCTCGCTTGAGTTTGTGGGAAACTGGCGGAGGCGACTATATAGTCATGGCCAAAGAGGTAGATTTTTGGACAGGATTTGAAGACTGATAGAAGAGTGAGGGAGTTGGTGAAGGCTTAGCCACTGATAAGAGTAGTGGAGAGGCTGGGAGATGAGCTGCTGGTATGAGATAGCCAAGTGGAGTAGCAATCATTAGAGTGGTGAAGAAGAACAGAGAGATAGGGAGTCGCTGGGGCATGAAGGGATTTCTGGATGAGGGGAAGACCCTGAAATTGATTTGTTGATTGATGGGCAGTGATGATGTGGTGATCAGTGTGCTGAGTTTGGTGCAGGTAAGGGTGGAGTCAGTACAGTTTTGTATAATAATAATCATTGCATTTGATTATAGTGCCATATTACATCTTCGAGACTTCTCAAAGCCCTTCACAGAAATATACTGTAAAGTGAATTGACTGTATATTTTGTGGGCGAAACACGGCAGCCAATTGCACACGGCAACGTCCCACAAACAGTGGTGGATTGAAGTGACCAATTTATTATTGTTTTTTTGAAGGATTATTACACCCAGAAAAGTGATCCGTCAATCGACTAACAACCAGGTTCCTGCTTACTGCTAGGTAAACAGAGGCGTGTGCAGAAAGGAAACTTGCCCAACATTTCATCTTGCTGGAAATCAAACTCGGGTCTCTCACTTGCGAGGCGAATCCTCCAGCACTGAGCTACAGGACTCCTGGATGGTGGAACAAGGGAGAGTGGTAAGGAATATGTTTGAGAAGTCAAGTCAGGGTGTAACAAGGTGTGCATGAGGTTTCTTTTGCGTGAGTTTGGAATGACTGATGACCAATAAATGACTATCCTTCTTGAAGGGAGATAAGCAGAGTTTTCTTGGAACTGAACTGGCTCCAAAAGAATGTTGGAATTGAATTGACCCCATGTGGCTATTTTGGTCATCTGGTTCCTGGGCCAGAGGGGTCCAGTTTCCCAGAGCACAGCTGATGACAACCCAGCCAACCTGGTTCATCGGCAGGACTTTTGAGGATCGAACCAAACGCTTAGGGTTATGTACCTCCATTTTGATCTCTGACATTTACACATCTTAGTGTTTACATGCATTAATATAGAAGAATCACAGAAGTTAAAGATGTCCCGATATTTCCTGTACAAAGTCCTGTTACCCCTGTTTTTTTNAAAACCAATGATATTTTATTTTCTGTTGCAGATGAGTCAAGTGTAACAATGTGTGATACCAGTAGCTACACCATCGAGGAACGTGTTGTGGTCAGTACCTGGGTCCACGAACGGCCGAGGACCAGAAAGACGATGGAAAATGTACGTAGTGATTTTAAGGAACGGTTCCAAAAAGTGGCTCCCCCCAAAATGACTCTGTTAAGATGGGAGAAGAAACTATTCACAATAGGAAGTGTGAGAGATGGTGATCGGACAGGGAGACCACCCACAAGACATAAACAGTGCGCTACAGTTGCCGAGTCTATTCAGAGGTCACCCAAGAAGTCACTCCGTCGGCTCTCATCAGAACTGGGTATCCCAACATCAACGTTACACAAGCATCTGAAGTTGGATCTGAAGATGCATCCCTACCATCCCGCATTTGTCAATGAACTGACAGACGAAGACAGAGGAGCTGAAACAAGCTGTCAGAGATGCATTTCACCTCATCACTCCATCAATGTTACGGAAGATATCGTACCAAACGCAGTGACGGATCATTATCTGCCATGAAAATGATGGCACTCACAGCGACCTCCGTACATCTAAATACAATTAAACAAATGTACTGAATACATTGAAGTACTTCTAAATACAATTATCATTCTTCCACGTTCCAGTTGTTGGTCAGTAGAAAAAAACATGGGGAATAACAGGACTTTGTGAACACCTTCAGACAACTCAGTGCTCCCCTTCTCACTATATTTTTCGTCGTATTTTCATTATACTCATTTGTGAATCATAATGAAAAAGTGTAGAAATAATGAAATTGTTACACAGTTTGTTCTGCTTGGTCGTTTCTCTTTCGGTGTCTGCTTGCTAGTATATTGCTCATCATGACAGAAATGATTCCAGGTCAGTCAAAAATTTAAATAAAACAAATCCTCCTTCCCTGCCCTTACCATAATTTAGTTCAACACAAGGCCAATAGTTCTTAGTAACATTTCATCCCTTCAGTTGTATTACACTGAATCCTCCTTTTCTCATTTCCCACTGGATATAAGGATTGTGAGCATAGCCAAGTGAAGGGAGGAAGTAAAAATTAGCAAATTTGTACCTTATTGTTGAAAAGTGAGACTTCGATTGTAAAGTGTAAAAGATTGGGTGAGGCGAGTCAGGCTTTCCTCCATAGTCCTGCAGCTCAGTGGTTAGAGCACTCGCTTTGCAAGTGAGAGACCTGAGTTCGATTCCCGGCAGGGTGAAACCTTGGGCAAGTTTCCTTACTCCACACATCTGATAATAATCCCTCAAGAAAAAAAATAAATTAGTCATTTCAATCCACAACTGTTTGAGGGACACTGCTGCATTTCACCCACAAATATAGTCAATTCACTTTAGTCTATTCTGTGAAGCGCTTTGAGACATCTAGAAGACATGAAGAGCTATATCAAATGCTAGGATTATTATTATTAGTCACATAGCCAATCAACACACTCACCAATGCAATTCACACATAAAGGGCCAGTTGAGTGAAATACTAGTTGATAGCTGACAAGCCACAATAGTCATTATTGGATGGGGGTGGGGGAGAAGAAGAAATTGTGTAAGACACAAAGGGAGTTCATATTGTTGAGGATGAGATAAAAATAGTTGCCAAATTGATCATTCACAACATTGCTGTGCAATTTGGTCTTTGTTTGTCTATAAAATAATCATTGCATTTGGTTTGGAAGACATTCCAAAGCACTTCACAGGATTTACTGTGAAGTGGACTGAGTATGCTTAGGCGAACACAGCAGCTCAATTGCGCACAGCAATATCCTTCAAACAGTTATGAAGTGATTGCCTTTTCTTTGGAGGATTGTTGGCCAGGACACCACAAGAAACTTCTCTTTTTGAATAGTGCCATGAAATCATTAAAGTCCACCTGAACAACCAAACAGGATCTCACAGCCCTAACCCAGCAACTCCCTCTGCTTAGCGAAAACTGCATAATATCCCGCTTGATCCACTCTACCATCAGCAGGGATCTTTCAATCATTCTGCCTCTGCTCTCTGGAGTTTAATTTTGACGAGCTAAAACCAAAAACTTACCATCGGAAGCACTGTAAGGCAAGCTTCCCGCTGCTTGTCCAGCTACCTGTTAGGGTTTGGGTTTCAAAGAGGAGCCGAGTGACAACAGTCTGCCCCTCCAAGTCCTGCCAATGAGCTAGATGGCATCAGCAGTGCCCTGAAAAACTACCCACCCCCCCAAACAATAGTCTCTTGTTGGTCATTTGATATCCACCTTCATTAGGTGAATGGCAGGTACCAGAAACTTCCTGGTTAACAGCACAGCAATGGCTCCTTATGAATTGTATTACGATATATTCCTAAAATAAATAGGGAACGTGGTATGAAGAGATGGGTCTTAAGGCGGCTTTATGCTGTATAGAAATCGCAATTTGTTGCAAGATCAAAGGCAGAAAACACCATTTAAATTGAAATACTTTATTTCCACTTCTCAAAGTTCAAACAAAAATTGAGTGTTTGCACAAAGCTTGGGAGTTTTTTTTTTAAAAAAAACATTTTTTTCAGTACCTTAAACAATTCAGAACTGTGCCAGCATATTGCAGGTTTATAACAAAATTACATTTGTATAGCGCCTTTCATGTCAGGAAGACGTCCCAAGGCGCTGGACAATCAGTGTTTCAGACCCAAGCTGGGGGTCGGGATTGGGGAGGGTGGAGGACGGGGGGGAAAGGAGGGTGACCGAAGGCACGGTCGAAGAAGGTGTTGAGACAGGTCTTGAAGGAGGCAGAGAGCTGGGTGGAGTTCCAGAAGGTGGGGGCAGTGGCAGAGTTCTGGATGATCTGCAGCCTACGGGGGGCAGGTGTTGGGGAGGCCGACAATCAGGGAGTTTGTGTATGTTTATAAATGCGTGTCCGAGGGTCTCGGCGGCCTACGGTGTGAGACAGTGGCGGAGGTTTAACGTGTGATACACACTAAATTTTCCATTTACAATTTGTACAGTTTCAACATATCAGCGAGCATCCACCTTGAGGTTAAACTGCATCTCAAATCAAATTATTTACAAAAGCAGGTGATAAAAAGTTTACAAAATTAAATTCAGTTCCTAAAAGTTTTGCGGCAGTGATGGCTAATACATTGATACGTAAAATATGCTGTACAAAAATGCAGAACAATTTAACCCTGGTGGAAGTATGCAATGTCTTTTTAAATACTAGGTTATATTATATATAATTTGTTTCCTTTTTTAAAAAAAATGGAAGAACAGTACCTTAGCATGTTCAGATTTTTTATACATAGTTCTATACTTAGATCTTTCTGTACATATTTATACATGAAATAACCCATTGGGTTCTGGATATACAGCGTTAACCACAGTAGATTGTGAAATAAGCCGATGGCACCAGACAGTGTGCATACAATTTAAAGATAGTACAATTCAGAAACCAAGTTTTAACTGGGTTGGTTTACTGAACTATTCATAGAGTAAAGTAAATGTTACTAAAATCCCTTCATGGTTCCACAGAAAATGGAAACCAAACTTTTTTTTTTAAAGAGGCAAAAAAGCACAACATTCTCTGAATTACTTACAAAACACAGTTGTAGAATAATAACTGCAGAATGGAGTCCTAGTGTGGATTGCGCAGGGTTCATTTACCATTGAAGGAAAACAGATGTGGTGAAGCAGAGTTCAGTTGGATCAAGCTGATTCTACGCGAATGGATTCAAGTGAAGTTCTTACAAATTATTGTATTCATTCACTTTACAATAAGTGAACAATAGTGGAAGAGTGATACCAGAGTAGCATTTCTAAACAGTTCAAACATCATAGGTTTCAATCTCATCTCAGTTGAGTAATTAATGGCATTCACCACAATAGCACAGCAATGGGTGGAAACAAAACAGCTGGCAGATCAAGATCATGAAGTTTTGCTGATACAGTAAAACGAGTGGCTGGCTTGGTTTAGCACTGGCCTATATCAATGCATAACATAACTGTTGTAAGCTCAATTTTTGCAGTACATTAAATGATTTTGTCTAATTAAGATGAATAGAAAATATTTCAGTCCAGCAATTCAATTCATTTTCGTCAGTTAAATCCACTGGAGAAACCAGTAAATATACCACTAGCCTCAATGAATACTCAACTGGAAAGAAAGCAGATCAACTGTAGAAGCTCATTCAATTCAGTGTTGCTTTAATAATATCTTAACCTATTAAGTGTTTCATTATCAGGACATTCGTGGCAGAATAGGGTTCTGTTTTAATAATCAGCTCTCGTAGTTTCACTAAATCCTTCCCAGGGTGCAGGGAAAGACTAGAAATGCTTGGGAATGCCAACTGCGCAGTTTCAAGATCAAATACATTGCTTTGTAACAATATTACAAACATTTGTTCAACAATTATTGGCCACATTTATATTTGTCATACCATGAGTATTCTCAGATTTTCCAAACTGTTTTTAGTTAATCTATTGTGACGTTCTGTTCCTTCAGAGGTTCTGGAGCATATGGTTACCAGTTAATACAACGCAGTGTGGGACCAGAACCATACTGCAAGCATATAAACATTGCATGTTAGTATAATGGCCACATTCAGATTGAGTTTTCTTCGTCTAACCCATTCACGCAACTACCAAGTACTCGTATTTATAAAATTGGTGGTTTTCAACAGCTCTTTGGTTGTAAATAGCATTTGATTTAGATTATGTAGATTTAGTTACAATCAGTTACAACCATTTTGCAGAACGAATATTCAAAAATTAATAGGAAAAATCCAACTACCTATAGGCTGTGCCCATTTAGCCACCATTGGGTGGAAGAATTTGAGAATGTCAACCCACAAGTATGATCCAGAGAACGCAGGTAAACAATTTCAGGAGATCACTTCCTATTAGCCTTTGGTAAAAAACAATTTATGGCCCCAAAGATAGTCTTATAGAGGAGGTCCCAAAATACAAGTAGCTTTTCTACTCGACAAACATCAGCTCCTCAGAAGAAAAGACAGAGTTCAACATACAGTTGGTTCAACCACATTTCAGTTTCAGATCTTTCATTTCAAAGATCAGTATTAGCACTCTAATGTACACAAGCCCACCAGGTAATTCCTGCTGTTGTTCACTCATTTACCACTTCACAGCAAGGGAAAGCAATGCAATAGGAGGAGCAGCTTCACTTTAAGGTGTGATGTATAGCACCTTTCACGTCCTCCTGATATGAAAGGCTCTATACAAATGTAATTTGTTATTGTTGATGAAGCCTTCTGGTTCACATTCATAAAACACAAATCCAGTCATTGCAGGACACCCTACCCCCAAAAAAAAACACAAATTGAGATTCCACCCCTCCCCAGTTAGTACTAATTTTGTAACTTTTCAACAGTTGCAATTTATCCTTGGAATGGATTCGAACCCAAGTCCCAGAATTTAAAACGCTCACTCACACCACCCACTTCAGTCCATTGAAAACAAATGATTCCACTGTCATGAAACAACATCTGTACATGCTATGTTTTCATACTTTCTCCCATTTCAGTTAAAGGAGAAAAATACTTAAAATGTATCTGAACTTCATTTTGGGCAGATCCTCAAGATTAAAGATAAAGGGGTCGCAACAGCAACAGTTGACAATGAGATTTACTAACAGCAACTGAGTCACAAATTGTAATTATGGGAAGACTGTGACATACTGCTGGTTTATAGGTCTCTGGGCATCAGTCAATCTGATTGCAAAGACTGCAACGCAAGAGTTAAACATATAAATTTTGAACGACTAACAATTTTATCATTTGACTGAACTACCGTTCAAACATGAACCAAGCTATTCTGCAACATTATTTTACACAAAATACTTAAGGAACAATTACACAGATCAATTGCCTCACTCATCCAACTTAAGCCAAGAAAACAGAGCAAAGAATTGTGCATTAACATTCAAGACTTCCAGTCTCCAACATATTTCAGTTGTAGGTCAAATTTAAAGGTAATAGAGGTATTTATTAATACCATTTCCAAAATGGTTTGCGATTGCTTTTGCAACTATCTATAACATCCTCTATAGATTTTCTTCTTCCACCCATAAGTGCCCTGCAGCATCCTATCAATACTATTGGCAGAACTCATGTAAAACAGGACAAACAGCAGCAAAGCAGCCAACTCAGCCACTACCTTTTCAGTCAGGTGAAATCAAATAAGAACATATGAAATGCTAAGCGAAAAAAAGACCAAGGTCCATTTAGTTCGCCTTCCACCTTCCTGGCAGTCGAATGTCCTGAACTACCCATAGTACCTGGGGATGTGTCACAAGATTTCAGAACTATTAGACATAGATCGCCAATTAACTGCAGATTGAAGTCAGAGGGGCTCAACATGGATTGGAAGGAGAAATAAAATATACCATCATTAGATAAACATGGTGATGCACATTGAAGCTTCATTTCATGCCAAATACATAAACTACATAAAAATATTAATTAGTACAAACACCTCAACTGTTGAGATAGTTTAGACTATTAGAACTTGTACTGCCTGTGGTTTTATTGGTGAAAAGTTACATCACATCCACTCATCAGTAACTGCTACAGATTTCACTAAGGAAGTCACCAATCCAGAACCCAACCTTCTGTCTGGGTCCATCACTGACAGCACTATTAAGACATTTTTTATTTTAAAAAATTGAATGGTTACATAAAATCTTCCAAGGGGAATAGCCCATCAACATCACAGTCAAATAGATCACTGATGCCTGCTTTATCACCGATAGTAAGCAGATATTCTTCCTGAGACACTGACGGAGACAGATTTACAAATAGTCCTTCCTCCTCCATGGGAGATGAAATCTGATCTTCAGTTTGTTGCAAAAGATTGTTCAGAGGTGCCAAAGGTGAAAGGCGTGCAAAGTGTGTACCTGAACACTCGCTGTGTTGAACCCCGTTAGAAGCTTCAGCATCTGCTATAAAAAACAAAGGCATGAATTAACCGATTCCAGGCATTCTGCAGTCACTGGTTTAGTCTCTTGGCCATCACTCAAATTCAGTCAACATAGGTGAGAACAATCAGTGGAGCACCATTTCACTTTTGTTACCAGGTTTCAGTATTGAGCAAGGTTGGACTGTCACAAAAATTCTAATTGAATATAAAATCCTGTCATTTATACAATTGTAACAGTGTGTTTGAGAGCGTGAGGCTTTATCACATCGAAACTTCAAATGTTTCACATGTAATTACTGAGAAGTGGAAAACCAAATTCAGAACAGAAGTGTGTGGAGGGGGATGGGGGCGGGTGTCTTTTTACAATATAAACCAAAATACTCCAATGTTGTAAACGTTTGGAATTATCTACCAAGCAAGTTAAAAACATTGTGGTTATTTACATTCACTCATCACCCAGTTCATACTCTTATTTACCCCAACAATGCCAAAGATCAAAACAAATGTAGCGGAGAATACAGGATTTGAAACAATGGCAATTCAAAACACTGCACATGCACATCTATTCGTATTGTACCAAATAGTATTTCCTGGGGGTGGGGAGAGCAGGGAAGGGCGAGAGAGAGAGAAAGAGGAACCAGGATAATCCAATTTGGGCAGGTTTCAGTACAACAACAACGAGCACCTATATAGCGCCCTCCACACACAGTAGCGTCTCAGAGCTCTTAACAGTGGCGGAGCCTGACTCCGAGCCGGGGGGAGAGGAGGTGGCCATAAGCACAGTTAAAAAGGTAAAAGAACATACTGGTAGAAATCGGCTACTTTATCTAACAGGTGAGTTTTAGACATTAGCTATTGTCTTACAGAAAGGGACAAGTTCATACCCATGCAGTGCTTTTGAGGTGCATTGAACATACCATCTTTGTTCGGGACTTACCTCTTGTATTTGTTAAAGACTGGGAGGTAGTTCGAGAAAGGTCCTGACTGGCAGCTTTCAGTGGGCTGTTGGGTGCTCCATTGTCATCTGGACACAGATAAACTTCAATGGGTCCTCTGGAACTTGACAGATGTATCTGGAAATTCTGTGTAAATTTGAAGAGAAAATCGCTGAAGATAAACTTAGTACTAATGGACATGACTAGATAATACCAGCCCACTCCTCTCAAATCCACATTTCTTCTGTAGTGCCAGTTTTTAAGAGTATAGTGTCCTCGTTTGCCTCTCGCCCATCAATTGAATTCTATGAGACTATTGTGGTAACTATAAAACACAGGGGTTACGACTGTCTTTGTTATGAGCTTGACCATCCTGTGTTTGACAGATTCAATAGCTCAGGCCATTGAATTTGAGAGGTAGGCAAAAAACACACTGGTTAAAGTGTCCACTCGCACTTTATAGCCAGCTACCAGAACACTTTACCGACCGTAACGTACAGTTATATAGCACCTTTCACCTCGGGAGGGCGTCTCAAAGCGCAAAAACATAGGAGTCAGGCTCATATTGGAAGGTGGGTAAAAGCAATTTTCAATGCCTACCATGATGACATGGATAGAATTTTGGAATAGTTATACGAGATCCCATTGTTACAATTGGAAATAAGAGTACAAACCACAAAAAGGCTCTAATAAAGCTCTGCAAATTACATCTCCCTCTTTCACTAGTGTAACAGTAAATGTACTCGTCTTTACACCAACGTAAAATGTAAAGAGAGTTTTTTTTTTGCACAATTAAAAAAAAACATATGCCACAAATTACGATTCGTTGTGCATCCACTTTCAAAGAAGAGCACAGACTGCAACCCTCTAGCCCAAGGCACCAACTGACAAGAAGCATTAGATGCGAGGCACATCTACAAGATTATCTGGAGTCCTGTAACTCAGTGGTTAGAGCACTCGCCTCGCAAGCGAGACACTCGGGTTTGATTACTGGCAGGGCGAAACGCTAGCCAAGTTTTCTTACTCCACATGCCTGTTTACCTAGCAGTAAGTAGGAACCCAGTCATTAGTCAATTGGCGGATCGCTTTTCCGGGGGTGCTAATTCCTTTTTATATAAAAAAAATTGGTCACTCAATCGACGTCTATTTGTGGGACAATTGGCTGGCACGTTTCATCCACAAAGCATAGTCAATTGACTTTACAGTATGTTAGAAAATAAAATCAGCCAAATCTGTAAGGAAATAACGCTAATTCCTCTAACCAGATATCAGACTGTTTTATTATTATTCGTTCGTTATTCCCCAATATCCCGATGGGTCAGACCAAAGGCCGGTACAATCAACAGATATTATAAAAGAATAACACCACTATAGATATCTCGAGTTCAAGAGTTCAACACTGTCTTTCCAGCACACAAGCTTGATTCTTCATGCTTTCAGTCTTCTTGCTTACAGCTTTCAATCTTCCATCTGATATCCTCAGTCTTAGTGTTTCTAGCTCTCAGTCTTCCATCTCCGTACCCTTGTCTCCACAGCCCGGGATGGCTCCATCTCCCGTATCCTTGTCTCCGCTACCCGGGACGGCTCCATCTCCCGTATCCTTGTCTCCGCAACCCGGGACGGCCCCATCTCCCGGATCCTTGTCTCCACGACCCGGGACGGCACCGTACACAAAGTTAACGGAACTCTTATACCAATGTGCATCCAATCATGGTGCGGACATTAGATCACCCGGTCGAAATCATGCCGGGTTCACGTGAACACCTCATGGGGGGTACGTGCCTCAGCACACATACACATTGTCCTTAATTGTCTAAGATAGAGGATTGATCAGTTTAGGGCTGTATCTGGTGCTCATTATTTTGTGGTGTGGGATCATTAGTACATTCCTTTTAAGGGACTGGTTAGTTCTTATCAGTATCCTGGGATGGTACCAAGGTCCTATAGTTTAAGCAACTTGCTCATTAATTGCTATTCTTGAAGGTTGCCTTTTGTTGCTTGGCAGGCCCTGTCAGAATCTAGCGACTTATTGCTCAGTCGAGATCCTGTGTCGACTGGTACCTTGGACCGTTACCTCTGTGGGCTTGTTGTCATTTACTGATAAGAGGTGAACCCCTGCCCCTGTCCGTTATTCTTTCAAGAACAGAGAAAACCAGATGTGTCCTATCCCATGACTGTCAGTCCAGTTGTCCCCCACACTTAACTTAAAAGTTAACCCATTCGCAACATCTTTTGTGATTCTAACATTATACAAAAAGTGTAAATTCTAACAAGTATATTCTGTGAAGCGCTTTGAGACACCTCGAAGATGTGATAAGGTACAATATCAAATGCGAGGATTATTATTCTTATTTTGTTGCCCCTCTCCTTTCAGAGAAATTGGCCTGAATCAAACTTTCAATAGACTGTGGAAACTCTTTGCAGGAAACCCACATGCCACTTCCCCCCACCCAAAAAAAAATCTAGTGTACAGTTGTGTTGTAAGGCACCACAGCACATCAATTTGATGTATCCCGAATAAGAATTGGCAAATGGGTTCCACGTATGATAATGGTACAATACATTTCATTTTTGATGATGGTGTAATGCATTGCAGCATTGAGTTCACTTCCCCTCCTGCTACCAAGCAACTTTGAAGAACAATTAGAGGATGCACCTCTAATTAATCTAATTAATGTTAATACCCCAGTTTACTCGTAACAAGCGTTCTTTTCAGCCACACATCACGTGAAAGGATCCAAACCCATGGAAGTGTTACAAGACACTTGCTGCTGCTGGTTCCTGCTCACCATTCCCTACAGTGAATTCCTGACCTCGGGCATGCCGTTTCTGGAAGTAATCCCCTCATGAGGGAAGGGAGTTTCTCCTGGTTTTCTGGCCAACAATCCTCTAGATAATTGGTCAATTGGCTGCCACATTTATAATAATACTTGCATTTGATATAGCGCCTTATCAACACGCCTCAAAGTGCTTCACAGAACATATTATAAAATGAATTGGTTGCATATTTTGTGGGCGAAACGCGGCAGCCAATTGCACACAGCAAGGTCCTACAAACAGTCATGAATGAGCGACTAAATTATTATTATTTATTTATGAAGGGATTATTACCACCGGGAAAGCAATCCGCCAATCAACTAATAACCAGGTTAATACTTACTGCTGGGTAAACAGAGGCGTGTGGAGTTAGGAAACTTGCCTAATGTTTCACCCTACCTGGGAATCAAACCCAGGTCTCTTGTTTACGAGGCGAGTGCTCTAATGAATATGCTACAGGACTCCATTTTCCAACAAATATAGTCACGACACTTAATAACATTTATGTTTGATGCATTGCAAAATGTTTTAACAGATGCTATGTCAAATGGAAGCATCACAAGGTTGGAAGCATCACAAGAAGACTCTTTGCCTCATTTGATCTCTGCCTTCCAGATCATCAAATCTAGTCTTCCCATCATAGAATCAAGCTGCCTTTTTTAAAAAAAAAGTCCAGTTTTCTAACCACCCTTCTTGGCAATATGTTCCTGTCATTAATTACCCTCTGGACTAAGAAAAAGTGAGTGTAAAGATGCAATTTAGCAGTCAGCCACCAGGGGGCACTCCTGTGCATCTCCCAGCTGTTGGTCACAAGGCAATATTGCCCAGAGGGCCAGATGTATTCTTATTAAAGGAAATGGCAGACAGCACAGGCAAGCCTGAAGGAGAGGAAAGACGAGAATATACTTGAAAGCTTAAATAGTCCAGACCAAGCCCTCCAGGACTCTACCCTGTGTGAAGGGCACTATATAAATGCAAGCTGTTGTTATTGACCCAGATTTGATCCCTAGTGCATGCCAAGTTAGCTGATCTCAGAGTGCAATGAGTACCAGAATACCTCTCAATGCCCTGAGGTTGAGAAGAAAACTATTAGAATTTCCTATTCCTCACCACCATTCAGTAACTCCTGCTGGTTAGCTAGGTCTTGGTATCCCTTGCTGTCCAACATATAGTCATACAGTGGTTGGACTCACATGACTGGCTAACTAGGCGAGGTACCAGAGGGTTGTTAGCACTTGTGAACTGCATCAAACAATCGTCTCCACCTTCAGGAGATGGGAAACAGAATTATTGTACAAAGAAGCTTGGTTTTACTGTGCCCCTAGAACACATTTTGTTACAGAAATCCGCAAACCAAAGCAGGAACCTGATGTCGATAAAAGTACAAAAACGAACTCCTTCCTGGTTGGACACAACCAAATCCCAAAATAATCCAAAGTTTAGATCAAACCTACAAAGCCATGTGCTTATGAGAACTTACTTACATCATATGGTTCAGGCACTTCCAGCCTGGTTTCAGGAGGAGCTTTCACAGCTATTACAACCTGGCTTTTGAAGCTCTGAATCTTTCGGACATCCTGATAAGTCACATAGTTTAATGTGCAGTGTGTTAAGGAGACTGAACAAGTAAGAGATTCCCGAGATTGAAGACAGAGCCTCCAGAGATTGAACAAGATATAGCTTTCAACATTTTAAACTCCAACCTCCCACACACTCAGGCCTTATACACTTAGTCTTGGTATTCACAAGTGCATCTACCTATAGTTTTAAACATAACAGAGAGGTTTCATTCAACCAAGCCCAACCTTCACTTGGAAACCAACATTTCCTGGCAGCTCAAAACAATAAAGTAATCTCAAGAAATGTATTGAAGGAATTATATGTATTGGAGTCTGGAATCGCTCTTATTTCAACAAGAAAAAAAAAGTGTCAGTTCTACAGTCATCATCTGGGCCAATAGAAAAGTGTGGAAATATTTGCGGGAAATTGCGGGGGAAATTGGCAAATTTTGAGGAAAATTGCGGGGGGTTGATTGCTGCTATTGTTGAGGTATATTTTACTGCCAACCTACACTTTTTCACTTTATTGATAAAAAAAACATGAGGAAATAACACATTTTGCTCTTTGGACCAGGGCAAGCGTTTTTCAAAACTCCCCGCAATTTTAAGGAAAAGTTGTCAAATTTCCTTGCAATGTTTGGCAAATATTTCCGCAATCTTCTATTAGTCCTGGTTATATAACTAATAAAGAGATTGGTCCATGGAAGTCAGAAAGGATATCTTTGGTTTTCAGATTCCTCAGTTAGCCGTTTTAGGTCCAAAGTGCAGCTCTGGATCAAGTCATCCAGCTTCTTCTCTCTCAGACTGAGCTCAGTCACATCCCGATTGAGACCCTGGCAGCGTTTCAGCATTCCTTCATCATCGATCAGGCTGCAGCCCCTGTGGAATGAAAACAACATCCAGGGGAAGGGAGGAAGCAAAGAAGATTTTCAAAAAATCACATCTTCTAAAGAGCCAAGTGATACCAATCCATCAAGTGCCCTATTAAACGCTAAGCACAGGAGACAATTATAGTAACTTTCAATATAGTATCAGTTACAGCACGGGTCTATCGGAGACCTAACCACACCTGACTTTGGGGGCTGACTGTCCGGTTTTCTATGCTTAAAAACTGGCCAATGTTCAGGCATTAGATATTGTCAGATATAATAATAACCTTGCATTTGATTATATCGCCTTATCACATCTTCAAGATGCCTCAAAGCGCTTCACAGAATATACTGTCATATGAATTGACTGTATATTTTGTGGGCAAAACGTGGCAGTCAACTGCGCACAGCAGTGTCCCACAAACAGTCGTGGATTGAAGTGACCAATTCATGATTATTTTTTAAAGGAATTATTATCACCGGAAAAGTGATCCACCAATCAACTAACAACTGGGTTCCTACTTACTGCTAGGTAAACAGAGGCATGTGGAGTACGGAAGCTTGTCCAACGTTTCGCTCTGCCGGGAATCGAACCCCAGTCTCTCCCTTGCAAAGCGAGTGCTCGAATCACTGAGCTACAGGACTCCAGATACGCAGGATGCACTTCCTGGTACAGTGGGCAAAGGGATGGCTAGTGCGATCTGACGACCTGGAAGTCGTCCATTGTTCTGCAGTTTACATTGCATATTGGACCCAGTTTACAGCTGAGACATTGGACCCAGACGATCGTGGAGAATAAGGTTTCCTTGTACCAATATGACTTTAAAGCGTACATCAAACCATACTCAAGCTGAACAGAATTTTGGGCGAGATAGGAGAGAAAAGAACACTTACATCCACTGAACATTATTTTTGGATTTCTTCTCGATGAGGTGAATTCCCTCCAAAACGTTAGTGATGTCGTAAATCCTGCGTTTCGGAACCTTTAAGACCTCCGCAGCTCGGTTCAAATCTAAGACCCCGTCTGGAGACTGTCGCAGCAGCTGCAGAACATTCTTTGTGAGAGGGACCAGGGATGTGTTGTAGCGAGCCTTCTCTGATGGAGACTTGGGAGCTGCAGGGTGAGGTGAAGAGAAAGGTAACTTTCAGAACCGGTATCTTTGAAATTCAACGCACATCACAGGATAATGATGGATAATGGTCAATACACTGTACAGTATATGCTATGAAGCGCTTTGAGACGTCTCGAAGACATAAGGCACTGTATTAAATGCAAGGATTATTATTATTATAATAGTTCCATACGTCAACAGAAATGAAGCAGCCAGCACTGAAGACGTACAAAGCATGAGGGGGAATACAGGTCACCATTAAAAGGTAATAGCACAAGCCTCACTGGTTTTCGCTATCATTTTATCATCTTAGTATTGAAATTGGCAACCACACCATCTCCCACAACTTTTCACAACCGACCTGGATTTTTACAGTGTCAAATGGTCAGCACAGTTTCAATACAATAAAGAGACAGGAGTTCCATTTAGCCGGGTGGGAGAAAACAGCCAAGCTGATGGCTCAGGGTCTGTTTTACTTTACGGAGCAAGTAATAGAGTCCTGTAGCTAAGACATTAGAGCACTCGCCTCGCAAGCGATCACTGGGTTCGATTCCCGGTAATCAAAATGTTGGGCAAGTTTCCTTACTCCACACACCCCTATTTACCTAGCAGTAAGTAGGAACCCAGTTGTTAGTCGATTAGCTGATTGCTTTTCCAAGGGTAATTATTCGTTTTTAAAAAAAATTGGTCACTCAACCCACGACTGTTGGTGGGACACTGCTGTGTGCAACTGGCGGCCACGTTTCACCCACAAATATACAGTCAATTCACTTTACAGTATATTCTGTGAAGTGCTTTGGGACATCTCGAAGACATGATGATGCTATACCAAATACAAGGATTATTAATATTATTAATGATGCACCACAACATGAAATGTCTCTGCTCTCACCCACCATTTACAGAGGCACTGGTTCACTCATGGGCCACCTCATTGGGTTCTCAACCAAAACCTTAGCCTGTCATTCAGGTGTTGATTCACCCAATTTCCTGTTCCAACAATTCTGAGTTTTAATTCACATCTGTTTTAGACTGACTCTACAGTTGCATTCTTTGGCAACTGGCAGTTTTTCTCTCACTCTCTGCTACCCTCCCCCCACCCCACCACCCGATAGAAATGATGGCCTAAAAATAAAAAAAACAATCTCATGTAGCAGAGTGCAGGTCTTAGCACAGCCTCAGTCTATGGATGAAACACTATCCCGATCCTGGTATTAATAATAATACTTGGATTTCATACAGCACCTTATCACGTCTTCAAGACGTCTCAAAGCACTTCAACGCATTAATCCACACATACATGCCTCTGGTCATGCCTCTAGGTTAACTTTTGCCAATTCCCACCACCTAAAAAAATAGTGCATCTCAGGAACACATAACTTTAGTGCTAGTCATTTCTCCCAGCTCTGCTATTAGTCAATATTTAGGTAGATGAGATGAAAATATCCAAAGCCTATTTTTAGGTAGAATACAACACAATACATTTATCTGTTGATTTATTTATCCTCATAAACTTTATTTCAGGCCAAGGAAATAATACACCCTCTTAGGAAGGTCTTGGTTGCAACAATACTGCAGGTATACACAGCACGTCTGAACTGTAGAATCTCAATTGCTTTATTTAACTATACTTGAAGAAATTTGGAGTTAAGTATGTGGTTTATCACTCAATACTGAATAGCAGAACATCAATAATCGGTCTGACATTAGTAAGTGCCCTATTAAGGCCACGCAATGGGCCCAGATACCATATTACAGGCAGGTACAGTGCAACAATTGAGCACTACAATATGTCCAAAAGTGCATCAATCCAAAAACACCAGTCCTCCTCACTATGGCTGGTATTGAAAGTCAAAGAATCCCAACCAATCCCTGTACAATTAGACCTTCCTAGACACCTTTGCAATAGGCCCCAAACCACCCTCCTCCCTGAAGATGTCCCTAAGGGTTAAAAAAAATGGGGATGCTAATGAATTCAAGGCCTCGCATAACCAGGCACAACAGCCAGATCAGTTCCTTCGCCAAACACTTCAATTCATCCAACACAACCAATGCCACTCCCCCAAATTACATAGCACCTGTGGAGCTCCACAAACTCCAGCTTAATCTGAGCCCCCGTCCCCTCCAACCTCCTGAGATTATACTTCCACTTCTCAATATACCAGACATAGCTTCACTTCAACACTCTGAGTTGCTACCATGTGTGAAGGGCACTATGTAAATGCAAGTTATTGTTATGTACCATGTTCATCCTCCATGACAAAAAGAAAAAGGATACCTGGGCTACCAAATAACAGGACTAATTGAGAGGTATGAGACATAGCATCTGTTTCAGAAAAACAACAGCAATTTAAAAGATGCCTTTCAAGTTGGGAGGATGCCTCAAAAGGATTACACTCAACTGAATTGGAGCTAAGTAATTACTGCAAAGTTTATGTTTTTGTAGTTAAACGTAGCAGTCAATTTGTTTTAATAAGTGCATTTTCTGTTTTTTTAAAAAAAACCTTGTAACATAAATGATGAGGGAGGCCAGTGCTGTGGAACAGAACATTCCTCTTTTGAACTCATTGTGAGCATTAAGCACAATATCAGATATAACAGGTTTAGTAAAGCTCTGGACCTCAGTCAATAGCGATGTTGCCTCTGTGTTAGAAGGGTGTGGATTTAAACCTTATGTCAGGCCTGAAGCTCAACGTCTGTGATGTCTCACACTGTTGGGCGTTCTGACATCTTTAAGCTTTCAAAGCACCAGCACAGACATAAACTTCTGTGTCGTAACTTTCTGAGGGGCCAAACTTCACGTATTAAACTAAGACTCCTCGTGCCTCGTAACTGTTTGTGAGAACTCAGACGGCACACAACTGACATTGGTTTACAAAAATATTCACTTGACAGTAATTAATAATAATAATAATAATCCTTGCATTTGATATAGCGCTTTTCACGTCGGGAGGACGTCCCAAAGCGCTTCACAGAACATACTGCAAAGTGAATTGACTGTATATTTGTGGGCGAACGCGGCAGCCAATTGCGCACAGCAATGTCCCACAAACAGTCGTAGATTGAAAATGACCAATTAATTATTGTTTTGGGTTTTTGAAGGGATTATTATTAGGTCAGTACTTTGAGATATAAGGTGAAATGAAGAACAAGTTCTTCCTTCGTAGAATTACATGGAATAATACAACATGGTAACAGGCCCTTCAGCTAAACTAGTGATTGATGGTATTTATACTCCACATGGGCCTTCAACACTCGTCTGTTCACCTCTCCTGAAACCTTTTTATTTCCTTCTCCTTCACAATTGCATCAAAATTTGCATGAAATATATTGATGCTTTTTGCTTCAACTGCAGCTTCTGGCAGCGAGTTCCACATTCTCCTGTAGTGGAGTCCTGTAGCTCAGCGGTTTGAGCACTCGCCTCGCAAGCAAGAGACCTGGAATCAATTCTCAGCAGGGTGAAACCTTGGGCAAGTTTCCCTACTCCACACTCCTGATAATAATCCCTCAAGAAAAAAACAATAATAAATTGGTCACTTCAATCCACAACTGTTTGTGGGACACTGCTGTGCGCAATTGGTTGTCGCGTTTCACCCACAAATATATACAGTCAATTCACTTTGCAGAGTATTCTGTGAAGCGCATTGAGACGTCTAGAAGACGTGAAAAGCGCTATATCAAATGCAAGGATTGTTATTATTATTGTATATTATACTCTCATCCGAGTACTTCAGGTCACACTTACTTTTTGGACTAGTTGAGCTTCTCATTGCACCCCTTCCTCTTCCTTTTGGAGTACATACACCAGCAGCAAGGTACTGATGGTCACTTTCTTCCAGCTCCAGTCTCCTCTTAGCCTGTGCAATTTACAAAAAAGTCACAGTTCTAGTCAAGTCTGGAGATTTCTGATGAAACTTTAGAGCAAAAACAAACATTCACTGATAATAAAGTTTTAAAAGACACAATATCTCTGGAAAAGCATTGCACTGACCAGTTACTCAGTCACAGAGGGAAATTTTATCAACATTTTACGTTTAGTAGGCACAAAGGCAAGGTCGAAGAGGAAGGTTTTTGATGGGACTTGAAGGAGGCAAGCGAGGTGTTGAGGCGGAGGGATTGCGGGATAGATTTCCAGAGTGTGGGGACAGAGATACTGAATGCCCGACCGCCAATCTTGGGGCAGGAAGTGCAGGGGACCTGAAGCAGACCGATGTCCGCTGAGCAGAGGGAGTGGACAGGCTGATATGGGGTTAGAAGATCACAGAAGTAGTAGGGAGGATCAAGACTATGGAGGGCTTTGAAGGTGAGAACGAGGGTTTTGAACTCGATTCTCTGCAAGGATAGGTAATCGGTTTGCGGAGCCTGGTGCAGGAGAGGACACGAGCTGCAGAATTCTGAATAATCTGCAGCTTGTGGAGGGAAGAGTTGGGAAGTCCAGCAAGCAGGCAGCTGGCGTAGTCAAGCAGGGATGTGATAAAAACGTGGATCAGGGTCTTGGCAGCCTGCGGTGAGAGGCAGTGGCGGAGAATGTCACGATGTGCGGAAAGGCCGAATGGGTGACAGCACAAATGTGGAGTTTAAATAATAGCAGGGGGTTGAACAGGACACCCAGGTTCGTATTGACTCAGTGAGGTGAAGAGTACAACCATGAATAGTGATACTGTCAGAGCCTGAGATGAGGAGGTGATGGAAGCCAAGAGGTAGGGCCTCTCTCTTGCCAACATTCAGCTGGAGGAAGTTAGCTCTCGTCCAGGACTTGAAGTCTTACCAACAATTAGCCAGGACAGCGGCAAGCCTAGAATTGAGGATGGAGGCGGCAAGATAGAATTGGGTGTGATCCACCTACATGTGGAAATTGACCACATGCCTGCAGGTGACATCACTGAACGGGAGCATGTATAGATTGAAAAAGAGGGGACCGAGGTCAGAGCACTGAGGGACACCGCACATGACAGCGCGGGGGCTAGAGGAGAAGCCGTTAGTGGACATGAAACCTAGTTTGGGATATGTCATGTGCATGCAACTCCCAGGAAGGTGGACTTCATGGACCTCGGTCTTCTTTTGTCTAGATATTCTTATGTAATCCTCTCTTTAGTCCTTGCCAAATAAAATATTTGGTTAAATCGCAACAAGAAAGGCTGTGACTGAGGGGCTCGATGACTTGTCAACCACATTTACTTGTTGAGAGTCTAAGCAATATATAGAACTGGTTGGATAAATAGCTTGGGGGGAAAAACAATGAATCTGAATGTCCTACAATTTCTTTAGTACGATGTGCTGAGCCATCAGGATTATCAAACAACATTGAACAGCCTCAGCATTATCCCACAACAAAACTCAACTGGGTGGTGACCATGGTCATTTTTAAACAAACCTGAATGTCACCTTTCAAAGAATCGTCAATCCTTCATACTACAGCATTTACATGCATACACTTTGAAGGAACTCTGTGAACAGTTGAATTGTGTGTGGAAATGATAATGTTTTGCATTTTCTGCATCCCAGCACAAAAATCATACACTATGGAAGATAGGAAAATAGGACAAAGCCATTCAGCCCATTGAGCCTGTCCCAGTTTATTAGATTTTGTTCGATTATTTTAATCTCAATGCCCCGCTTTTTACCATACCCTTCAATGCTCCTTCTACCCAAGTATCTGTCCATCTCTCTTTAAAAATCCCTGTTGATTCTCTATTCATTCTGCAGCTTTCTGGGCCAGAACATTCCACATCTTCATAACACTGTGTATGAAGTTTCCAAACCTTAGTTCCAGCTAATGTAAATTGAATATCCCAGTGTGGGCCTAAAAAAAATATAGAAACTTAAATATTTATATTTTGAATTTGATGTACAGGTTTAAATGAAGAATCTTACATTTTGAATGATTCTTGAACAGGGTAAATATTTCAACGAGTAACAATTGGCTGCCACGTTTTGCCCACAAAATACAAAATAAAGTAAATGCATTTACAGTTTATTCTGTGAAGTGCTTTGAGATATCTCGAAGACGTGATAAAGCGCTCTATCAAATGCAAAGATTATTAATATATTATATATCTTCAAATTAAAATGGTAACAGATTCCATTTTACAAATTTAGGTACATAGGAGCCAATATTCTTAAATCGCCTCTGTCCAACAAAGATCTCACAATCATTTATAAGTGCACTGGTTTGCCTCAATCTCCAGTCACTAAAATAATTCCATAGCTATTCACAACAAACAAGAGTTAAATACTAAATATGAACACAAAGTTCAAGTCTTTGGTTGGACATGCAGAGATAAAAACATTTGTTGGTTTATAGATCCACTCATTTACTTAAAGTGATTTGTTCCTAAAGTGGTGCAGGTCAGATCCCTGGTTAATGTATCTCCAGAGTAACATCCTTTTTCTCCAGGATCATCTGAGCTAGTGTTGATCCTTAATAATGGCACCTCTATTCCTTTCCCCTAATATAATCCTGATTGGCAGTTCATCTCATGTAGTACAACTGTTAAGTGACACTGTGCATAAGCAAGGCCAGGATTTGAATGCATCCTTAATGCAGTGTTGGGAGGATAAAAACTTGTTACACCACTAATAATTGGGGAGGAGGTGACAGGTTCAATGTGAATCATACACTCTTATTTGAGACATGGAGAGAACCACTTTGGTTTGAATTCTGTGAAAACCCACCAACAGCATTAGCTCACACTAGATTACCCTGCTTACATCAGAATCCTCCTTATTATTTGAGTTTTTAATCTGCAGATTAAAGAAAGGAATGGGCAGGGCTTGTGGGGGCAGATAATCTTATTTTATAGATCCAGTTGAGCACAATTCATGGTTCTCCAACTTAAATATTCTTCAAAGCATTCCAGTTTCTGGATTTCTACAATTAACTATCATTTGTGATAGGGGCACATCGTTTTGCAAGCGAGACACCTGGGTTCAATTCCAGGCAGGGTGAAACCTTGGGCAAGTTTTCTTACTCCACACACCTAATAATAATCCCTCCAAAACCAAAAACAATAATAAATTGGTCATTTTCAATCTACGACTGTTTGTGGGACATTGCTGTGCGCAATTGGCTGCCGCGTTCGCCCACAGATATACAGTCAATTCACTTTACAGTGTGTTCTGTGAAGCACTTTGGGACGTCCTCCCGACGTGAAAAGCGCTATATCAAATGCAAGCATTATTATTATTAACATCGATTAGTCAAGCTAGGGCTCTTCAGTAAACTCAGATGTATCAAGGCAGTGGAAGAATACATAGGTTTAGTTGTAGAGGGCAATTTCAGGACAGATATCAGGACGTTTTTCTTTAAGTAGACAATAATGAACTTAGAACAGGACGTAGGAAATGTGGGAGAGGCCACGACACTAGGCTCATTTAAAAAGAAGCTTGATGCAGTAATGGGGCACATCGTAGGGTGGGTACTTTGGAGGGAAGAGTTTCTAGGGTACAAAGGGCCTTCGTCATCCAGATCAATCTCGTGAACTGAAAGCACCAGAATATGTTGAAAGCTTAAGCACAGAAAATCCAGCTACCTATCCATCACTATATCAAACTGCTCTTCCCAGGGAGCCCATATCAACATTCCTCCAGATGAATTGCTCATGCACCTCATTACTGGATTTAGGATTTTGCTGTAAACAAACTTGTCTACAAGTGCACAATCACGGCTCAACACCAATTGCTGGTAAAGCACTTCAAAGCATTTTGACCCAAGTCATAGGTGTTATATACAAGTAAATAAAAGGAAGAGATGCAAGAATTAAATTTTAAGGGGTCTAATTTATGGATTGCTTTTACCATGTGAAACCTCAAGTTAATTACAGGTATCTTAATTGCATAACTAATAATAATCCTTGCATTTGATATAGGGTCTCATCATGTCAGAGGGATATCTCAAAGCTCTTTATATGATTTACTGTGAAATGGATTGATAGTGCATTTGTAGGCAAACGCAACAGCACAATTGCGAGCAGCAATGTCCCACAAACAATCATGAAACAAATGACCAATTTTATTTGGGCGACTTTTGGCCAAGACACCAGGAAAACTCCCTTCTCTTTTCGAACAGTGCCATGAGATCTTTAACATCCACCTGAACGGGCAGATGAGATCTAGGTCTAATGTCTAATCCGAGATACAGCACCTCAGACAATGCAACAGTCCCCTAGCAATGCATTGGAGTGTCAGCTTAAACTTTGTGAGTTCAACCCCTGATGTACTAACCACCTATTTGAAGGATTCCACGGTGGTAACTTTTGACAATGTTTGTTTATATTGGGAAATCCCATTAACACATTTTTACATACTAATATGCATTTACAATTCAAAGCTATTTGAATTCATTATTAATTAGTATTATCCCACAACAGTCAAAATGCACCAAACTTCAAGCAAAACTTTAACCTGAGCGGAGGGAGTCAACCAGGCAATGTGGTCACTGAGGTGGGGAGGCCATGGTGGCATTTGAAAGCGAGAACATTCAATCTACTGGGGCATGGGAGCCAAGCAACAATGGGCATGATAATAAAAATAATCCTTGAATTTGATATAGAGCCTTATCACATCTTCGAGACGTCTCAAAGCACTTCTCAGATTATACTGTAAAGTGAATTGACTACGTTTTGATGGGCTCACAGAGCCTGGTGCAGGAGAGGACATGACTTGCCGCTTGTGTAGGGAAGAGCTGTGGGAGTTCAGCAAGGAAGGTGTTGGTATCATCAAGCCGAGAAATAATTAAGCCATGAATGAGGGTTGCAGGAGCTTGCCAGAGAATGAGGGGGGAGGAAGAGGAGAGACAACCCGGATGCAGAGCTGTGACTATCTGTGCAGATCAATGAAGTCAACATCCAAGGTGCAG